AGTTTTATCCCGACTTCCATCTTTGTCATTTAGAGGCTTCATAGATAGACAGTAGAGTTTCAGAAGTGTGTTCATTTATTTTATTAAATGTTTTAAAGACTTAAGTTGCCTATTTTATGGCGAGTTGAATATTATTTTTATATTCAAAGTATTTCATTTGAGTTAAAGTTTTATATTTCAGTTTCAAGGACTTTTATTTCAGTTTTATGGTTTTGCTTGCTTAAGTTAGTCTTTCGCTTGTAGTCAGCCAGGATGAGGGTTCGCTTGGGGAGCTAACAATAGTCTTCGAGTGTCGGCCACGTCCAGGGTGTAGGCTCGGGTCGTGACATTTTTTTTGCCTTTTTCAATATCCTCATAACCTTCATCAATTCCAACTTCACTTAAAAACCCTTTTGGTTTTTCCTTCTTCTTTCTCCTCCTACTTTCTTTAAACTTTCTCACATCTTCGTTAACAATCCTCAACTCCTCATGCACATCACTTCCATAGTCAATAGATTGGTCAGAACAAATAAAATCACTATCTATGTCTTCCTCTGCATTTTCTTGGGCACTTGGTTCAACTTCTTCTTGAATAGAAGGTTCAGTTCCTTGTTGGACAGTAGGTTCACCTTCTTCTTCAATATCAGTCCAATCTATTGAAGAATAATCATCATCAGTTTCTTGTTGGACCCTTGCAACCCCATCATTCTCAACTCTTTCACTAGATGGAAAGGAAGAAGAGGAACCTAAACCTAGATCTGGTTTTTTTGGTTGTGCAATTAAAGAACCATCAGATTCCCTATGTGCATTAAAAGACTCAACCACTTAACTTAAAGATTGACTAATTTGACCTTCACTGGGACCCACATCCTCTAGAATAGTGTCATCACACACATAAATATCTATTGTGTCCCCATCATGCATAAATAATGCAATGTTACAAATCTCCATGTCAATTTTTAATTCCACCAGATCACCCCCTAGAGACTTAACATAAGTTTTTCCTAACTTACTAATCCCAAAAGACTTAGCATAATCTGCAAGTTCAGGAATTGACAAATGATCTTCATCCACATTCTCTACATATTCAGTCCTACCCCCAACATATATTGGACCTACCTCACTCACCAAGATACCCCCAAATTTGAACCTTAAATTGAGGTACTTAGTAGCCATAGTATCAACCTATAACCACCAATAGCAATCAATATATTGTACAAGGCAACAACAACAAAACATATGCAACAACAACAAAACAGAGGCAACAACACCAAAAAACATACAATAACACCAAAACAGAGGCACCAACACCAAAACAAAAGCAACAATACCAAAAAATATACAATAACAGCAAAACAGAGGCAACAACACCAAAACAAAAGCAATAAAATCAAATTTAACTCATAAGCATACAATTATACAAGGAAATTATAATAAACAATACAAAAACATAATTGGTAACTTAGTAGCCATATTACTCAACATCATACAAAATATACATAAGGAAATTACAAAATACCCCACCATTTAACAATACCTAAATAGAATATTGAAATAAAAAACCCTAGAATCTTAATTTTACTAAAAAGCCCTAACTTTTTGAACTAATTACCAGAAACCCTAATACGCATGCATGCATAAGCTGAACGATTTCATAATAATACATTCATTAAGTGAAAATTCTAGTTGAAAATGATAAAACCCCTAATTGAAAACTCAATCGGAAACTATGGCGAAACCCTAGTCAAATTACGGTGAAACCTTAAACGAAAAATAGGGCAAAATATAAATAAAAAAGTAAAGGAAACAAACAATAACACATCATAAGAGTGGATAATCACTTACTTGGTAACAATTTCAAACAAGATCGAAAGAAAATCGATCAATCGACCAAACGCTTCACGAAATCGAGCAAGCCTTCACGTCTAAGAACTGCAACTGACCCAAATCCAGAAAGAGTTCCGCGAAATCTACCCTTTACTCCGTCGATTACACTTTTTAGAGAGCCAAAAGTTTTGAAATCTATCGTCGTCCGTCGATTACACTTCTTACCAAAAGTTAGAGCTTAGTGAGAGGGTTAGAGATTAGTCCGGAAGTTTTAATTTAGGTGACAAACTTGACATTTAATTATCTAGGTGGCTAATATTTATCTAGGTGTCATGCGCGTGTAGACACGATTGGAGTGATCGGACAATAAAGGTGTACTCGACGGAGGAATAAACAAGTTCGGGGGGGTAATTAAAACAAATTTAGTTTAGGTGTACACCGTATAAAAAGCTTCAAGTTCAGGGGGGTAATGAGTACTTTTGCCAATAATAAAAGGAAGATAAAGTTTTAGGGTCATAAAAGCTTACCCAATAGATTTAGCACAAGATATCTCTTCAAAATCTTCTCCAAGGATTTGCCAAGCTCAAAAATGAAAAATTGGGCTAAAACCCCAAAATTTCCAGGTCAAAATCCCTCTTTGATGCTGCTTTTGCGACCATGGGTTCCCTTAAGCGAACCCCACAAAAGTTGGGGCCTTCGCTTTCGAGAACCAGAGTTTGTTTTCGCGAGCATCACGATCGAGGCCTATGGTTTACTTAACGAAGCCTGCCTAACATGGGCCGTTCGCTTTCGCGACTAAGGTCTTGCTTTCTGGAACTTCGAGATCGCGAGACACCTGTCGCGAAAGCAAAGCACACCAACATTAGAAAAATCAGAACAACTCTCAAAGTATCGAATGGACCCGTGAGATTCATTTGGAACCCCGTACACACGAACCATATGTGCAAATCGACTATACTCGATGTTCGAAACTCAATGGACGAATTCAAGGTCTCTGTAACCCAACATTTGTGAAGTCAGAAGAAACTAACACAACACCCAAAAAATCTTAATCAAGCTTGGGGTCTTTCAAAATTCAACCAAGACCTCATTGACGCCTTAAATCATCCTTCGAATCCAACGGAACTCTCGAAATTCCAATCCGAACCTTGACTATTGACTAAAGACAACTTAAAGGCTAATAAATTTCAACAAATTTCCAACTTAGGATCTCAAATCCTCAAAAAGACTCCGAATCTGAAACCAACAACTCTCACTAACCAGGTTCCACATCCGAAACTGATGGGATTGATGGAATGCCATTCTGACACTCGAAACTCTCAAAGACAGTGAAAACCACTTTTTGGCAACTTTAGCCTTTCAAATTCAAATCTTACAAAAATTCGCAACTTATTCTCAAGGTTCTAAACCAATTTTCAAAACTCAATTCTTGGGGGAGGCAAAACGGTAAATTTACGAAACTTTCCAAAAGTGACCAACCAAGTCATTACATTAAATCCTAGCTATTTCCAAAATAGTTATGAGCATCGATAATACCTACATAACTAACACCACATTACTAATACTTGCATAACTCTATCTAGTAACCAAACTACCACTTATTGAACTAGACGTTGGAACTAATGCCAGCACATGCCCAATTTATGTTACTCACTTTGTTCCAATTTATGTGACATAAATGAAATTTGAAGAATCAAATAAAAAATTTATGATTCACAAAAATTTTAAGTTATATAATAGCTTTTACATAATTTTCAGATAATATATGTTATTCTTTTTGTCCCAAAATATGTGGCACCGACAGAATTTCGAGTGTCAACCAAATTATTTCTCTTTATAAGTATTTTGAGATGTCAATTATTGTGATTTATAATATTTTTTACGTCATTTTCAAATAAGATATATTACTCCCTCTATTTCAATTTATATGACACTGACAATATTTCGAGAGTCAATCAAACTTTTATGTCATTTAAAATTTTAAATTGTTAATTATTGTAATTTATAGTACTTTTTAGTCATTTCAAATAATATATGTTACTTCCCATGTCTCAATTTATGTGGCACCGATAGAATTTCGAAAGTCAATTCAATTTTTTTTATATATCTATTAACATTTTAAGTTGCTAATTATTGATTTATAAATTTTTTTAATGTAATTTTTAAATATGTAACAGACTGAAGAAAAATAAGATAAATAAATTAAATCGGAAAAAATATAAAATGGCCAAATTGCCCCTGTCTAGTGTCTAGGAAGCCGCATGTTGACAACCACCTGCCTACTTCCTAGACTCTTCGATCCAAAGGTAAAAGATAGATATTTATGAGCCATTTTTCATATGTTAAAAGAAATTTTTGGCTCTTTCTATAAAAAAAAAAATTAAAAGAAAGAGAAAGTCAAAAAATCCCTAAAGCTAAACAAGCAGAATGTGTGAAGCCAGCCAAGTCGTTGAGGAAATTTTTTAACACACTAAACCATTGTGCTATTTATACCTAATCATGTCAAGGGTGTTCAAATGTAAGTATATATCATATAACATAAGATTTTATCTATATACATAATGTAATTTTTTGGTGACTAGTATTCGCTTGACTACCATAGTAATATTGTAGCTCAGCCCCTCGCCTTGACTAGGGAGTTTTAGATTGTGATTTCTACTTCCTTGAGAAATGAGATTTTAACACTAAAGTTTCAAATGTTATTTATATTCCGCAATTTACTTCTTTTATATGGTAAATGAAGAATTTGATTATTCAACACCTTACATAAGTGATTACTAAAATAACATAAGAAAACTGACAAAAACAAAAAAAAAACATGAGAAGTTATTTTGTTGTTGGAGTATAAATTTTGGTGTTTTGAGGTTTCTTCATATGCAACTTTTGGGAAACACTTTGCCAGCATGACTTCCCCTTGCATTTTTACAGTAAGCAAAGGCTGGCCTTCTCAAACGATCATTGTAAGTGAGCTTTATGTCATGTAATTTTATTCCGGTGCACGGATTTGAGGGACTGCAATCAAATTTCATGGCTGCTTGTGTAGATGATGTTCCTTTCACATTCTTGAATGTTACGTCGCTCACCTTCACTCCTGAACTCTGTATTCATATCAAATGGTTATAACTTGAAGAAATTAAGAAAGCATGGTTCTATAACGTTAATTTTCATTTCGACACTTTAACTCAGACTTGTTCCATTTAGACCTTTCAACATCATAATAAGTGTGCCTTTTACATATTTCTGCTTTCTTGAACTTTGTGTCAAATAATAATCAGAAAAATAAATTGAAATGGAAGGAGTACCTGACGAGGGCACACATTATGGGGGCAATAGTTTTGGTCAATGAAAATGGGATTTCCAACATTCCTCATAACAAGGTTTTTAAACATGAGATTTTTAGCAAAGCCACCACTTGGTCTTGCCCATGATTTTATCCTAATCCCATTTTGTGTCTTTGTGAAAACAGAATTTGCTACTGTGATATTTGCTACTCCATCTTCATTTAAACTATGTCCCAAACTTCCAATGCTGCACGTACGACATGATAAATATAAGTCAGAAGTCATAAGTTACGGGCTTATGATGAGTCAAAAGCAAAAGTCAATTCAAACAGGCTCTAAGTACGTACCTAATGCCATGTCCAGGGCCACATCCAACTTTTTCAATCCACATATTCGCTGAGGCAGGGCCAATGGATATACAGTCATCTCCAGTCTTGATAATGCTGCCATAAATAGTAACCCCCCTTGAGTTCTGAACATGAATTCCATCAGTGTTTGGACTTCCACTTGGAGCTGTTATCTTAACATTCTCAACTCTCACATTGCTGCTGTAACCAATTCCTATATGTACTCTTTGACTGTCTAGTGATGTCAAACCCTTTAACAGTACATTGTTACACCACATAAATTGTATCGACTGCAATATATAAATTTACACACATTAGAGTTAGAGATACATTTAAGAGCAGCGGAGCCAGAATTTTCATTATGAAATTTCTTTATATGTTTTTAAAATACTACTCCATACGAGTTCAATTATTGTGATTCATAATTGTTTTTACATAATTTTCAAATATATAAATTGGACGTTACATTCATGGAATCGGTTTACTTACCCTAGCTCCTTGTGGACAAGTACCTCCACCTTTTCTACAAGACCAATAACCATGTCCCTTGGCATTAATAGTTCCACCATACACATTAAGTCCACTTACCTTATAAAACATAATCCAAAACTCAAAATTTCCAATTGCATTATAATTCACCGGAGCAACGAGAGTACCATCAATTCGGAACTCAATTCGTCTCTTACAAGGACCATTTAAGTTCAACGTCCTTACCAAATATGTTCCTCGTGGAATATACACGTTAGGCTGGCTAGTAGAATGGCAGGCAGAAGACCAAGCGCGAAGAAAAGCGGAGGTTGAATCTGTCCTGCCATCTCCCCTAGCCCCAAAACTAACCACATTGTAAGCTAAACAAGAAGGTATTAGTATATTTAAATAAAAGAAGAGTACACAAGAAACACTAGTATATTTCATGGTTTTGAAGTTGTACATATTTATGTTGAGTGCTTGTTTAGAAGCCGTTATAATGAAAATGAAGATTATGCATGTGTATATTTATAGTTATTCAAATTGTGACCATATGATAAATTTTTTTTGTCCAACATGACAATAGAAAATTTGTTTTTTTAAGATGCTTAGAGTAAGTTGAATGCTAAACCCACGTCACATACTACGGACATGTACGAACGAATGAATTCTTGGGCGGTACATGTGCATATAATTATTATTTGGAAAAACTACATATTAGACATACTTCACTACCATATATATTATTATTATGTATATTTTTAAATATTATGTGTTTTACCACTAATTAAGAGTTTTCTACGTATCTTAGATTTAGATACATGTATTTTTGCTACCAGATACACAAATAGGGAGATAGACGAGCACGATTTGTATGTACTAGATACATGCGAATCACACTAATACACTAGATACATGTATCTGTATATATCTGGAGTGATTTACATCTATATGGGATACCATATACATGGGAGAGTAGCGAGCGAGATGAGAGAGAGCCAAGGGAGGCGAGCGAGATTCGTATGTACCAGATACATGTGAATCACACTAATACACACTAGATATATATTTATTTATTTATTATATCTAAAGTGATTCACATGTATCTGGGATACCACATACATGGGAGAGTGGTGAGCGAGATGGGAGAGAGGGGAGGGAGTTTTGCTATGTATCATAGATACATATGAATCCACTTCGATACAATGTATCTAGAACAAATTACACCTAAATTTGACCCATGTATCCGAGATACATGTATCTTGACGTATCTGAAGGCACGAAAATCTTATAAGATATGTAATATTGCAAACTAGAATGTATCTAAGTAATTAGCTCCTAAACTAATGAAATTTATGTAAGTTCCCTTTATTAGTTGAGTGAAAGAATGAATGTTGTCCCAATTTGTATATCACAGTTCAAATTTCGAAAGTCAATCAAGTCTTTTTATGTAGTTTTCAAATAACTTAAAGTTTTTACGTCCAAATTAATAACAGTCTAAGTTTAAAAGTTTGAATCGCGAAGTTTAAACTGTTTCACATTGATACATAACAAGTATTACAAATATGAAAAGAAAATTGATAAAAGAAGAAGGATCATGGGGTTAAATAAGAATTCGTTTAATTTTCAAGATCCATCAAGAACGCAAGTAATGTAGAAGTTGAGTAGAACATCAACATGTGAGTTGCCAGCTTCATATATTTAATTCTATAGCCACTAGTATTAGATAGTTTGATCTTTTAATCATAACAAAATATAGAAAATTATAATTGAAAAATAAATGGTTTAAAAGTTTTTAATTGTTGGAGGGGGATAGTGCTTTGATCCCAATGCCAGTTTGACTTTATAAACTTGTCTTTCTTTTTCAAAAAAAATATAATTAGATAAGTTGTTTTTAAAATGTATTCCATACGTCATTCCCCACATCATCTCCATGTTATGATATGTACGATACACCATGTGATAAGTTGGCTTGCTTTTTGTCAAAACATCTTGTTTGCTTCATGTATCGTATCGTAAAAATCAATTTATATGAATAATTCAAATTTAGAGAGTCAATTTTTATTTTATTTTAATCGTATATTCAGACATAACAATTTAATGACTTTTGAAAAATAATTTACATATTTTACAATTACATAAAAAAATTATATAATAAGTCATAGAAATTAACAATTTCAAAGAAATTTAAGCATGTAAATAAATCGTGATTAATATTTTTTTAATTTGATTCTCGAAATTAAAATATAGGTGATATAAGTTAAAATAGAAAGATTATTTATTCTTCATCCTTTTCTCTTGATTACTAGTGAAGTTGGTGTAATATACCACAAATACAATAAATTACAGTTGAAAAAATGAATAAATAATCATCCAGGCTGAGGGGCAAATATCTTGCTCTCATCAAGGAAATTCAAGTCCACTGTGTCATAATCTACATCGATCTAGTAGTATAACTTTTGGCTTGTCTCTTCCAGGATACAACAATCCAACAACGCCGTACAACTCAAATAACTCCGGATTAGTTGAAAAGTCCAAAAAGTAGTAATTAATTCCTGCCTTTCGCTTTTTGGGGGTGGAAGGCAAAAGAAAACGTAGGGGAGGGGCTCCACAAAAAGAACACTTTCCTTCAACATATAATTATTCTCTTTTGTATAGTGAATTAGTTGAAGACTTAGAATATTTTTCTATGTCTCAACTCTCTCTTTCACTACTACCCACTGCAATATGTTTCACACTTACATTTTTCTTACTTCACTTCACAGAGGAAGAAACACCACTATTTATAGGTAAAGAAGTCTTCCATATAATCAATGGGTAGAATAAGGAATATTAGTGTGGGTAGATAAATACAATAGATGTTACATAAGTTATAAGAAACTAATGTCATTTGAGTTACATGCAGGGGCGGACCCACAATGGTTCAAGTGGGTTCAATTGAACCTACTTCATTGAAAAAATTATTATACATATAAATTATTTGTAAAGCTATGTATATAAACATAATGAACCCACTCTTTACACAATGAATGGTGTGGATCAGTGGTGAAAGGGTTCAATTTTTTGTATTTTCCAAATACTTTTTCTTTTTAAAATTAACTAATGAATGTAGACTATTATAGTTCTACGCTTCTAGTTCATGTGAAATAACAATAGTAGTATTCTAAATTTATTAGTTACGTTTTCTTTTAATGTTTGTATTTGAGAATTATTTAAAATTGTCAATAATTTAGACAATATGTTTATAGTTTTTAAATATTCTCTCCGATCCATCTTATTTTATCATTTTGCTTTTTACACACATATTAAGAAATCATAAACAAGAAAAATATTTTTACTAATTCACCCCATAAAAACTTGAGCAACTTTCACATATAGCAAACACAAAATTTATATTTGTATGCTATAGCAAAGTTTGCATAATTGCGCTCCATAGCAAACATATATATGTATAATTCGCTATACATTTACAATTGAAAGCTATGTCTATTTCGCTATACATATATACAAAAAGAAGCAATTGTATAATTCATTGGCTCCTCTTCAGATTTGTATAATTTCGTTGGTAGGCCATTTGTATAAATTGTTGTTAGCCTCAAGTTTGTATAAATCGTTGACAAAAATATTTGTATATAAAAAATTGCTCTCTCTTTCGCTTTGTACAAACATAAATTATACATTATACAAACATAAATTATACATTATATTTGTATAATCTGTGTTTGTATAAAACGAGAAAGAGAGAAAGGCAAAAGAGAACTGGGCAGGGAAATATTTGTATATAATTATAAGTGTATATGACGAAGATATATGTATTTGCATGTGTATATACAATTTTCTTTCGCTTTATACAAACAGAAGCGCGATTTATACATTTCGTTTCTGTTTGTATAAGCGAGAGAGGCGAGGGTGACGAACGAGATTTGGGAGAGTGGCGAGCGAGATCTGGGTGAGGGGAGAGGAGGGGAACGAAAATATATGTATATATACAATTTCCTCTCGCTTTTATACAAAACACAAAACACATTTTTATACATTTGTGTTTGTATAAAAGCGAGTGAGGGAGAGCGAGACTGCCACCAAACGAGAGTGGCGAGCGAGATTCCACCAGGGAGTGGCGAAAATAGCAATAGTTTGCTATAGGGTACAATTAAATCAAAGTATATTTATAGCATTTAATTTGAATTAATAGTTTTCTATTATATACAATTTTCCCTAAAAACTTCTTGCGAATTTTTCAAATAAATGTGACACATTCAAAAAGAATTAATTACAAGGGTAATATATGAAAATTTTGATTAATGCTTCCTTCATTTAGTAAAGTCGACAACTAATATGAGACAACTATTTTTAGTAAGATGATCAACTATTATGAAACGAGGAAGTAATACTTAGTTTAATATTTTGTAGTATACAAAATTGGGTATTTATTTTCCTTTTTACTTAGTATACACGAAAGTTAGGTTAGTGCATTTTTATTTATTTATTATTTTACTAATTTTATTTATTTATTTATGGTTTTCGAAATTGTTATAGTTTTAGTCTTATATGTAAGAGTAATAAGTAGCTTGTTAAATTGAAACTATGTGGAAATTTTCTTGTAAGTATATAAAAAATTAATACAATATATTTTTTGTTAGGAATATCACCTCAAAATTACTTGTTAAGAATATAATGAAAAAAATGATAACTATTAGCCATGATTATTTGTAACTTGAACCAACTTGAATGAAATCCTAGGCCCGCCACTGGTTACAGGAATAAACTAATGACCATAAGAGTTACAAGAACTAATGGTCATATAAGTTACAAAAATCAATAGTCATCTTCTACCACAATTTACATCTACTAACATATTTTTTATTTTAATAATAAAATGCATATACACCAGCATTCCCCCATTCATTTTAATATTAAAATAAGAGAGTACTTCACAATTTAGTTGAAGGTAGACTATCATGCATAAGTAAGGTGGACTCTGCAATGAATCTTCACTTAGTAAAACAATAATTTTTACTCCAGAGTCAGTAGTGGTCTAAGACTTGAACTACGTACGACTGCTTAAGGAAAATAAAGTATCACTCTCTTACACACAATAATCCAGGTGTTGACATAAGCTTTAATAGTCAGCACATTACGGTCTTGTGTTATCTTAGTTTTCATGAGTGTATTTGAGAACAAGCCCATTATCACAGAAAGCAACCTACTTTTACACTCACATAGGTGAAATTTGTCAAGGGTGCTCCTATAAGTTGACACCCCACTCATACAAGATACAAAATTTCATCAAGAGTTCAAAAACTCAAGCTCCACAAATCATTATAGGATAAATGCACTCACATCATAGGGATTGAATAAAATTAACAATAGTGCATTTCACAACAAGTCATCATACGATTAATTTTTCCCACTGGACCTGGTAATATGATTTCTAATCCTCGGATTGGGTTTCCTCATATATGACTCAGAACTCTCGATGT